CGACAATAACGCTTAGCTTTTGAATGACATTAGGTTTCACGAGACGCACACAGAGAGAGGGAGGGGGAGGGTGGGGGGGGAGGGAGGGGGAGGGTGGGGGGGGAGAAGGGAAAGAGCGGGAGAGAGGGAGAGAGGGTGAGAGAGGTCCCGCTTAGTGCGGGAGCCTGGACACGCTGGCAACCCTGTCTCAGGCCCCGCCCAAGTCTCTCTTCATGGCGACATCCATGTGCCAGCATGGTGTTAGCCTGCATGACTTGGCCGCGTTCTCTGAGCATGACTTGCACACGATGATTCAGCCTATTGCCGCCTTTTGATTCAGAAATCGCAAGTCGCTTCACAGGAGACCTTACTTGTGCTAGTGCAAATCTGTGAATAGTGTTTATCTAATGGATTCCATAAAGATACTTTCGTGCTCAGAGATAACGAGAAGTAGGTATACGAAATCACCGAACTCATCGTCTTTATCTCATGGAATTCATTTCAGCTGTGAGAGCCTGTACTCATGGCGGACCCGTCCTCAAGTATCCCGGCTATGGTGACCGAGGAATTCGTGAAAACTGTGATCGAACGGGACACGGGGCAGGCGGGGATCAAGGTGGAGGATTTCACGTGTGAGAGAGGCACGGACGGAGGGGAGAACTTCGCCACCCTCATATTCCGCCTCGCCGTCCGATTCGGCTGTGAGGGGCAGGAGGTTCAGACGAGGAGTTTTCTCTGCAAATTCCCTCCCGTTCAGCCCGGGCATTTGGAGATAACCCGTGCCACGCAGAGCTTCGACAGGGAGATGTACTTCTACAATCATATTGTACCTCTTATGTCGGTAAGGAATGAGAATACATATGCGAAAAAATAATTACAGCCACTTTGAAGGGCCTCGGAGGATTTTCTAGCATATCAAGCAGCTGCAATTTTTATAATACATGCTTCTTCGTTTCTGGAGCTTCCTAGGGCAAATCCTTATGAGCTCTCAACACGTTGATTTTCTTTGTGGTCCAGAAAAACGACCGGATCCTGCCAGATGTGCCGAAATGCGTCCTTGCTGAGCCGTCAGCGATCATTATGAGGGACCTGAAGGCAGAAGGCTTCAAACTCCCCAATAAATTCCGAGGTCTGCAATCGCACGAACTCGATGTGGTGATGAGGACATACGCTAGATTCCATGCTCTTGGCCTGAAAGTCGTGACGGAAGACGCAGAAGTTTCGTCGCAAGAGCTACTCAAACATTTTGCGTTCGGGAATGTGCCTGGGTTCTCCGACTTTGTTCGTCAGAGCCTGAGAAACCTCGTTTGGCTCCTGCCTGAAGACCTGGGCCGGAAGGTGGAGAAGTACATTGGGGCGCACGGTGGGGGCCCTGAGAGGTTCGAAGAAGTCTTTCGCAGGCCGGGGAAGCTGACTGGTTTGACGCATTTGGACAGCTGGTGCTACAATATGTTGTTCAAGTACGAGGATGAAAGAGCGACGGAAATGCGGATTCTGGATCTGCAGCTGCTATCGTTGGGAAATCCCATTCGGGACCTCGTTAACATTTTCTACTGCAGCGTGGATTCCACGGTGCGTGTCACCATGGAGAAACATCTGAAATCATACCACGAAACACTGCTTGCATCCACCAAGGAGCTGGATCTCAGCCTGGACTACCCCTATCCCACCTTCTACCAGGACTTTCTGAGTTTAAGAGAATTCGGATTCCTGCAGGCAGCCATGGTAGTACCGATCTTCCTGTCTCAGGACATTCCGGACATGGAAAAGGAGGATTTGACGATGGAGCGATTCGGAGATGTCCACGGAGCCTCCATCGACAGTGAGGATCTTGTCAAACAGAGGCTATTGGATGTCGTTCGGGAAATGGTGAAGGGTGGTGTCATTTGATTGTTTTTTTTTTGCTTGCAATCGGATTGCAGCTGAACGTATATATATTTTTTATGAAGGGGACATGGTGTATATTAAAGAAAACATATATGATTTTTACAATTTGTAATTGCGTTTCCTTTGTACTCCGTTATACAGGACGAAATGTAGCAGCATTACAATCCGTGTCATGCTGCTACATTACGTGACAATCGTGTAATGCTTCTACATTACTCTAGCTCGGCAAGTAGAATCCCGAGCCTCTCCTGACAAAGATACGCAATTTAGTCCATTCAGCTTTTACGAAGTCAACCGACTGCTCTACCGCGGGTAATTTTGGATTGGATTGATCTTTGAGTCACACGGCATGCGGGAGACGTATCAGAACCAACGGGTTCGGGGATCTCTCGATTCGAAGATGGAGCTGTTCGACCTGGAGGTTGGATGGCAACACTTTGCAATTTTTTTCGGCGTGACAATCCAACACCCGCCGCAAGATTTTCATCGAGGCAGCTTGTATCCGCGACCTGATTCTTACGGTCATTGCATTCAACTTTAGTTCGTGAACTTAGGTGAGGGTTGGGAACGTAAACGGTCATAAAAATCGAGAGCTTTGCCTTCTTGGAAATCACAGATTTGGCAACCTCTCCCTACAGAGTTCGTGCAAAACTGCGAAACCTTTGGTTTGTCGATGTTGTCTGTTGTCGATCTCGTTTCTGTACTACTCGTCACTCGTGAACCAGATCACGAAGTACTGAAACTTTTCCACTAGTTCCTTCTAGTGGGTTCCCCCTAATAAGTCAAGTTCACCGAGCGTTTTGAGAAAGCTCAAATTCACTCCGGCCGCAGTACATTCCGAGTCGAACAGGTCGAGCATGGCCTGAAGCTAAGCTCTTGTTGAGACCGGACCCAAAGGCACCATTTGAAATAAGTATCTTTACGTCGATACCACCGATGCTGATCCTCTCGAGGATCAGGCTCCGCCTACAGATCCTATCCATGGACACAAGGAATTGGAAAAGGGAGATAACGCAATCTTGACGATTTACTGGAAACGATTTATTCGTTCATCCGGTTCATTCGCTCCTGCAACCTCTGTATAAGGATGCAATGGCCCTAAATAGCTGTGTGTTGAGCCTAAACTCCTGCAGCACCCCAAACAGCTTCCCGCGAAGTACTCAGACGTCTTTCGATATCCAAAAAGCGTAGTAAACCTTTTTGGCACGCACCGATTGTTCTCGAGAATCTGGTATGTAGTGAAGAGCTGGTCTGCGGTGCAGGGCTCTTCACGAAATCAGCACTGCTGGCCTTTTAAGGCTTCCCGCGTTCTGCTCGAGATCTTCTTATTAACACCTTGGCATCGACCTTGCAGGAATATTCAGGAGAGCGATTCCGCGGTAATCGATTCACACCCTTGAGTCCCCCTTGAAAAAGCAACCATCCTGATTTCCATGCGGCTCGGCATACTCTATGAGAACAAACCGTTGTTCAGGACTTGAATGGGCATGCAGTGTAAACAAAAGTCGAGGATCATAAGGTGACTTAATGAAGATCATTTCTTGCATATTATACTTGTAAATAAACGCCATCATGCATTGATACTAGAATCCCAAAGTTATCTCAGTCGCAAATTCGGATCCAACTGACTCCAAGGGACCAAATCAACCCGAATCGACTCGTTGACTCGATTTCCACGCTCCATTATGTCGGATTAGTCGAAAGCCCATGTACACATGGAGTGTTTACATGATGAATTTCGATTTTCTTTACTGGAAGATGATCACTGGAGAAAATATTTCTCGAAAAAGAATCACGGTTGAAAGTACACGGGAACTGTCCGTGATAGCATTTGGAATGTCTCACATGCTCTGTGTCCGTGGGAACATTTGTCCTAGGCACTTGGTGCTTGAGAGGGATCGACATCAGTATCACTCTCAGGAGCGATTTGCTTTCTCAAACGGTTTTTTAGGCGGGAGGGCTTTTCCCAGCAATATTTCTCTGTCGCCGTTTCTGTAGCGTGATAAGGGGAGGTCTTTTCTCGGGAAAATGAGAAGATTCATTTTTAAAAATGCCTACATACCTATAAGGGCCCAGAGAGACGGAACTAAGACACGCCGGACGTCATTCGGGTCGACACCGGGGCAGACATGAACATTCGCAACAAACATGCAATTTCAGTCGCAACTATAGCTGATGTGACAATATGGTAGACTTAGTGGAATATGTAGAATACTCGTATTACTTAAGCCTGCGCCGGATCCTTGAAATAGGTCTAGGCTGAGCATCATATTCAGCCTGGCCTGATCTCACACGTTGTGGGATCTTCTCTTCCTTTCTCTCGTTATCTGTTCCCCACCGCATATCGAAAAAGTCAAGAAAACCTTAAATGAAATGCATGCTATTGCCTAAAGCCGATGTAATGATAGACTCGAGCGTGATGAGAACAACGAACGCATTGAGTCCGACTGAGAAGAAATTTAATCTTTGATGTGAAAAAAGTGTATAAAACTGGTGCTGTACAAAAGTCTCGAAGCGGGTATCTAAACGATACAACGATGACGCCAGTGCATTCTCAACTCAGACTGATCACAGCTGGATAGAATTTCAACATTTTCAAAAGCTAAAAATAAATGGAAAGGAGAAAATCACGGTCTTTTGAATGACATACCATATAGGAATTTGGCCCAAAATTAATTTGAAAGATTATCCGGGTCAGGTCAAAGATCAACACCGAAAAAATCTAAAATAAAGAAAACTTGGAAAACGGAAAGCTATTGTAAATGAAAATCGGTTGAGAAAGTTGGCAGGAGTTGGCTGGATAATATCTGGTCATGCATACATCTGCAGAACGTTATGTATTTATATGTAAGATGCATCCGCACTACTGGTATATTGTGATAATTTCAGATGGTATATATTGATATTATGCTATTGTGAATAAATTTAGATATTACGTCCAGAATGCATATTTTTCAATAGCCCCAATCATGCCCTGGGTTACATTCAGAACCTTCGATTGCTTCTCAAGAGCAACGGATTAACGGTTATGTAAACTTAAGCAATAACATTCACATGTTCCCAATATAGCAATAGTGTGGGCAAAGAGTATCAAAAAGTGGTAGGTACATCCCTGCTCTCTGCGAGTATCTAAGGTACATCAAGTAGGGGGCATTGGAAGTTATGAGAGCTTTGGGGAAGCGCTCCTCATGCTGTCTTCCCATCATTCTTGACATTTGTTATATTGTTTGCAAACACGCGTTTATTATCTCTTATCTCCCCATGAGATGATCCCCAAGGCCGACTTTTCTAATCGTGAGGGCTCTTATAAACACTCCCATGAACTATTCCTTCTCCATCTGTTCGCCTGTCTGCCTGCTCCGCTCTGAGACCTCATTCTCCAAGTAAGTACATTCAACTTGACTTTATTGCTCGAAGAGGCCCATTCGAAAAGTAAGTTTTCCTCATCTGTGTACAATACATTAATTTATTATATACATTCGAAATCGATTATAACGTCATTGAAGAGACCAGGGAAAAATCGTCATTATAACTCAGGTTCGTTATAAACGAAGTCGTTATAACCGAGTTCGACTGTATATCAAAAGAAAATACCACACAAACATTTCCCAAGGTATGGTCATTCCACATATGCACCACCGAGCTCAACACACTTCTGCCAGCGGTGTACCAGACTCTCGAACGGGTCACTGACACCAGTGATCTCTAGGCGTCGGAGAACGGTTTTTGTGGCACCCTTGATGGCCTCCTCGTCGTCAAAGCGGATGCCCCTTAGTGACTCCTCTTCGGGAAGAAGTTGAAGTCCACACGAGACCACATCTGCTGAGTAGGATGGGATAGATGGATGACATCTTACCCAAGATGAAGGAGTCACTTAGGGGCATCCGCTTTGACAAGGAGCCCATCATGGTGACCACAAAAATCTTTCTCCAATGCCTGGAGATAGCAAGTGTCAGTGACCCGTTTGAGAGCCTGGTGCATGTCTGGCAGAAGTGTGTTGAACTCGGTGGGGAATATGAAGGATAACCATAGCTTGAGACATGTTTGCGTTGATATATAAATCCATGTCTTGTACTCAGATAAGGAAACTAATTTTCAAATGCAATCTTATTTGGTGTTAGCTGCATTTGGAGAGGCATTTTCATTCGCACATTTTGTCACTAAATGCGAGCAGGAAAAACTTGAAGTAAGAACGGAAATATTAAAGTGAAAGATAATACGAACGGGTTGGTAAAATAACCAAATTCTGTGATTTCTTGCTTTTCCCCCATGACTCCTCAGATAATGAAGCAATGCCATGGGCTCATGAACCATAGGGCGATTTCAAATGTGGATATGATTCTTTAAAAAATGGATATAACTTGCTTACAATTTTGTCAAGTCTATATGTCATTGAATCGTATGATACGAAAATTTCAAGGTAAGCAAGAGCGATTGAAGTCAAAGAGACTCGACGTTCGTTAATAATCGGTACATTTATGTAAATTTGGTATTTGGTGTTCATGCACGGAAAGTAAATAATTATTATATCCCGTTCAAGAATTCATAATTGGTCAGACGTGATTTGCACATATGGGAAAGCATGATCACCATGCTATTTTTGCTGTAGTCCGTACACCTGAGATTCGTGTACTCAGGAAAGACAGGAAATGTGGTTTAACAATGCTCTGAGTACGATGTTTAAAACTGGCTTCAGCGTCGTCCAGTAGACCGAACTGGTATGCGGAATATTTCCTTTCTTGGCAGTTATTGAAATGGAAGAAGCAAGACAAGAAGTGGACGACATCACGCTGGAGTTCGTTAAGACATTAATCGAAAAAGACACTGGAGAAGATGAGATCGAGGTCAAGGACTTCCGCTCGGAACGAGCGACAGAAGCCGGTGACAACTTCGCTACTATCGTTTATCGCATTACGGCCAATTACAGCAAGGGATGCGAGGAAAAGAAAAGTTGCGAAGCTGTATACGTTGGGAAATTTCTTCCTGTCCAGCCTAAGCACAGGGAGTTCGTGCAGCAGTTTAGAATCTTCGATAGGGAGGTGGCCGTCTACAATGACCTCATCCCCGCCATGATAAATTTGCAGAAGGAGAAGCTTGGACGAGATGACATTCTTGTCCCAAATATACCACGATGCATTTACGCCAATGGGGAATCTACTCCGATTGCTGCAGTCATCATGGAAGACTTGCGTAAGAAAGGATTCCGATTGGCCGATAAGTACCAGGGTCTTCAGCCGGACGAAGTTCGTCTCTTGATGGAGGCTTATGGACGATACCACGGTTTGGGCGTCTTCGTCGACCGACATTCCGACTTCAGTTCCAGGCCTATTTTCAGCGACAACCCTTTCCAAACGTTCCCAGAATTTCAGGACATGATGCGGAACTGTCTTAACAGCATGTGCAAGGTCCTCGAGGAAATACCCGGACAAGAAGAGAACGCTAGAAAGATGAAGGACTACGTCGTTAAAGTTGATGGGGGAAGAGAACGATTATTCGAATTCATGGGGAGAAAAGGTAAATTACTCACCTTTCTCCATGGAGATTGCTGGTGCAACAACATGATGTTTCGATACGACCCAGACACGGGAGCACCAGTGGAGATCAAGATCCTTGATCTTCAGATCGTCGTCTATGGCAACCCTTGTCGCGACCTCATGCATGCTCTCTACACCAGCACGTCCAAAGAGACGCGAGAGCAGATGCCTGCTTTATTCAAGTTGTATCACGACACCCTCATAAGTACCACAAACAGTCTTGGGATCGTCCTCGACTACTCTTACGAAGAATTCGAAAAGGAAATCGCGGGGTACGAAGAATTTGGTTTCTTACTGGCAATGTTCGTCATCCCCATCATCATGGCCGAGAAAAAGGACATCCCCGACTTCACGAAAACAGACTTGAATATGGACGAATTAGTGAGGCTGAGGGAACAGCAGCTCGCCAAGGGAAGTTCGGCCATCAAAAAGCGCCTTGTCGATGTCGTGGAACATATGGTTGAAATTGGTGTGCTTTGATTTCGAACCTTCGATGCGATTACTTCGTTTTCGCGTGTGGGTTTCTACTATTGGGGTTTTTTTCATGTTACACAATACTCTCTCTCTCTCTCTCTCTTTATATATATATATATATATATATTAGTATTACTGTTGGTGGAGGATGTAATGTAATGCAAGGTGTCAGCATAATCAACTGAATTTTTAATAATCGAACTCCCACATATTTTTGCAGTATAAGCTGGGAGACATGAAATTCGAATTTGTGAAATAACTGACCGTAAGTTATTAATATATTGGCGATACAGGTATTCGAGTCCGAAACTTCTCTGAGTATTGAGCCACTGATGCCTGTGCTAACCACGCCACAGTCCTTCAGTGGATTCACGTATGGCACTTCCTGCAAAATGGGCATTCCTCTCTACTGGCGATTACTGAATGCAACCTAGTTTGGAAATTTCGACTTGTCGGTTCACAGCATTCCAATGATCTGATGAAGGCGATTCACCCGGGAATGCCCTTGTGTTTTAGAAACTTTAGTTGGTCGTTGTGGAGCTTGCGGAGGAACCGAGGATGCTACCCGATGTGCCCCTCTGTGTTTCTGTGGGGACCATTCGGGGTCGTGGTCGAGGGAGACCAGAAGGAAAAAGCTTCAGACTTCCTGATAGGATCTAGGCCGCAATCCGGCCCAAGTCTAGCTGCTCATGTTGACATTAGGGAGGTTACAGCGTTAGGATTTCTCCTTGTCCAGAAGACGGATCTGGATTCACAGTAAGTGCAGCAGGACTATTCTTTAGAAAAATTCCTCGACATGGATTAGTTCATCAAGAAGGCCAGGTCGAACCCTCGAGTCCCTCTTTATCCAGAGCAAAGCAGAGGATACTTGTAGATTTGTACGCTTCATGAGAAGCAGAATCTCCTCCCAAACATCATGCATAACGACCTGCAGATGTCTCTATGAACGGATATTGTGCATTGAACTACTCCCAGGTCTCGCAACACAATTTCATCGACGATTGCTCATTTGCTTTCTTATATTTATTTGTAGAATTCAAACTCACTTTTTTCACATTTCTTCTTAGTCGGAATTGAAGCGTTCATCGTTCTCATCACCCGCGAGTCTTTCAACATACGGGCCATTGGGATTAGCAAACATTTCATTTCAGGTCTTGGATGACGTTTTCTAAATGAGGTTGGGGACAAGAGGGAGGGGAAGAGAAGATCCCATTATTGCATGTGAAACCAGGGCGGACTGAATGTGATCTTGACCTAGACCTGTAATATATAAAAGGTAGTTTTTCATGAAATCACGACCCACGTGTCTACAGGAATTATTATTCAGCAACGAATGGAATATTTAGAAAAAACGTGGTCCCTCCACTCGATTTTTCAGCAGGGTTTTCGTTTCGTCTTAACGCGTGCAGAAATTTCATGCTTTAATAGAGTGACTAACCACTGTTGACAGATGGCTCGGAGTCGGAGCATAGAGGCATCGATCGCGAACTAAGAGCATTCCCTTAAGAGAAGTCATTTAACGTGTGTGTGCGTTAAGGGAGAAAGCCGGAGAAAGTCGGCGGCATGAGAGAAGGAAGGGAGTCCAGACACTTTTTTATCCCACGCGTTTCTCCCCTCTCTCACTCCCTCTCTCTTCCGTTCGCTACTCTGCATGGAAGCCATGGATCGGGAGCAGTGGTGCTGATTGCGTGCGGCGATTTAGCAAGAAACGAAATCGAGACCGTCATCGTCGCACACACCTTAACCAGGTACAATTTAATTTGACATAAAATACTTGACAATTCGATGGCAAACAACTAGTGCGCATGATTCTTATAGTGAAAGGGTAATGACGGAGGAATTGAGTCTATTAAATAGCGATTGAAATCCATGGAATTTGATTGGGCAAATGGTTAAGTCCGGATCCACCTCGCTTCCAGCCTGAGCCAGCTGCAACGGCAGAAACTACCTTTAAAAAATAATACTTGGACCAATTTCAAGGATCCATTGCAGGTGCAACGGATATTTTATTCTTTCCAACGATGGAATATTGTCACATCGGATATCGTTGCTACTAATGTGTTTGTTTTGCATGTTCATGTCTCGCAATCGTGGAGGATTTGGTCGCTTTTGACCGCTCCCCTTAAATTCGGGGGATTCTCCTGGCTCCGCCCGAATTTGATCCATGTCGAATATCTATTCATTCTTATACACTTTCATTTCGTGGATGAAAGGCGACAAAAGTTGCGGAGTGTTATTAGGTTTAAGGCACTGTATGGTAACGTAGTCTGGAGTCAATTTTTGGAATACTGGAATACTTTTTAATTTAAAAAAGGTTTTTCTTTTCACGCAGACCTCTCACAAAAAAGGAGTGTTTGCACCTTTATATAGCCAGAGTTTCTTGTATTGCCCGTAGATGTCACTGCCTGTCTGTGAGGCTTCCATCGAGTCAACGCGGAAATAGGCATGATTTTAACATCTGTAGCTAACTCCAGATATTCTACATCCGATGCTTCGAATCCTGTTGCTTCCTGGACTGACACCCTGCGGTTGAGAAATTATGTGATTTCTCATGGCGAAAATTTTCCCAAAACTTCCTCGAAAGCTGACGTGTTATGTGACAGGATAGGAATCTGGTAGGGACATGAATAAAAATAATAAATACATTAAGCGTTTTTTCTTCCACCTGAGTGTGATTGATACCGTTCTGCACAATGAAGATTTTCGTATTCAACTGAACTAAGATTTAATGCTTAAAGGAACTTCCTGTGCAGGAACGAATATACAATTACAAACGTCTGTCCCATCGAAACTTCCCGGACATTAACCCCAAGGTCGACATGTGCTAGCGCGAGGATGCTGCGGCGGATGTGACACTCCCACTTCCATCCCGATCGGGTGCCTGTCTGCTTCGCTCCGAGGCTTCACTCTCAAAGTAAGAATCAATATGGCCCAAGATTTCCTATTGTTCTGCCTGGTACTGTCTTCTTTTGATATATTAGTCCAAATTTAAGTTAGTCATTAAAAGTGCGGAGCGAAATCTGAGTGAAAGGTATGTCATTACAATTTTGGTACAAAGGATCGATGCAGATGATATGGTTCCTGCAATGAAAATGAAAATTTGCACTGAAAATTTGAAGATATATCTCAATGGGGTTGTGGGGATCGTTGAATCTCGCTTTTCGGAGATGTGAATATCAATTCGATATGTCTTTCCTATCCGCCTGGGAAGCCACTTCTTGGGAGTTTTCTCAGGAGAGAGAAAGCAACCAAACGAAAGATATTAACTTGTAGAGGACAATTGTGAGTGCTTCCAGTGCATCATTAAGCCTTAAGAAAAGAAATTAGCTAATTTAGGTTTAGCGTGATGGCTCCGTCCCATCCTCCAGTGTTGCCGGACATCGTGCCTTAGTTATGTCAGATTCATGACTTCGTCGGCCTTAGTACCAGTCACTGGATCTTCAGTTTTTTAATGTATCAGATCATTTTGTATCGATTTCATTAGATGAGCTGGGAATTAAATGGTGGCTAGAAGTGGCCGATCTATTTGGTTGGATATGGAGATATCTCATTCGGGCATCCGTAAACCAACAAAATGGCGACCAGGTTGAGTACACGCTTTCTAAAGGCAATTTCTTCTCAGAACTCGTTGAGACGGCTTGAGGAACTCCAGACATCCCTAACGTTCCTCACCCGCACTGAAGTAATTAATGAATCTCGAAACAGACTTCTAATCGGTCTAACGTTACTCATATTCTCATAAAAGGGCGGAGAGAGTGAATAGGCTTGCAATTGGCCTAACGTTACACTGCCTCAATGAGATCTCTAGGATCATGGATTAGTCCTTATAGGCCTAATTGGTTCAGAAAGTCGAGGATTGAACTTCTTTTAATCAAACGGAGGTAGGCCTGGACGCGAAGGCAGTCCGTCGGTTAGGCTTAGGCCTAACGTTAGTGAGTTCCCTAGAGAATGGGGGGGGGTGAGGTTGAGGGGTTGGAGTGGAAGAAGGGTATATTCGATTATGATGTTCGATATATGGTTCTCCCATTACATTGTGGCATCGGTAGGAAACAATTGTAACGCTTTCCCCAAATGATATCTGACTTTTATTACAGTGTGCGAGCACACGTACATAATCTCTTATCTCCCCATGGGAGAGCCCCCAAGACAGACTTTTTATCATGACGAATGCTCTCATAATCACTCTCGTGAACTATTCCTTCCCCATCGGTTCACCTATCTGCCTGTTCCCCTCTGAAGCTTCAATCTCCAAGTAAGTACTTTCTCGACATGACTTCATTCCTCTATTTGGTGTTGCCTCCACTTGGAGAGTCATTTTTATTCTCCCATTGTCACTGAAAGCGTGCAGTGACTTTTTGAGGGATGGGCAGAGGAATCATATTAAAGGAAATAACCATCTAGTGAGAAAAATTACAGAGTTTTCTCAGACTTGGGTTTTTCATGCCTCTTGTAGTCAATGAAAAAGGTCACTGAGCTTTCGCACATACAGGGGAATTCCCAACATAAATGCAATTATAGAAAAATTATATTTACTTGTTCTCTGGAAACTGCTTGGATCTGATAATATTCATATTGCAAGGCGAGAGATTAGCGTGAAAGTGATGCCACTCTCATAAGGAATCAGGCGAAAAGTACGTTTGATCTTTGTACACGGAAATGAATATGTAAAGGCATATGTTTTCCACGTATTCGTATATAATCGGTCGTGATTAGTACATAAGAATTCATGTTTTAAATGCATTTTTTAAATATAACCTGTATGTCCGAGATTGGTCAACTCGGTAATAACTTGAAATGTGCTTTGATAATGCTCCGAGGACTGCCATCGAGAAAGAATGGCATCGTGCAGTCGTCACATCTGGGATGGTGAATTTTTCCTTTTGTTGACAGCTGCTGGAATGGAAGAAGTAAAACAAGAGGTGGACGATATCTCACTGGAGTTCGTTAAGACCTTAATCCAAAAGGACATTGGAGAAGATGAGATTGAGGTCAAGAACTTCCGCACGGAACGAGCGACAGAAGCCGGTGACAATTTCTCTACTGTCATCTATCGGATTACGGCCAATTACAACAAGGACCCAAAGATAGAAAAGACATGCGAAGCTGTGTACATTGGGAAGTTCCTCCCTGTCCAGCCAAAGCAACGGGAGTTAGTGCAGCAGATAATGACGTTCGATAGGGAGGTAGTCGTCTACAATGACCTCATCCCCGCCATGGTAAATTTGCAGAAGGAGAAGCTTGGACGAGATAGCATTCTAGTCCCAAATGTACCACAATGCATTTACGCCAATGGAAAATCTACGCCGATCGCTGCAGTCATCATGGAAGACTTGTTTAGGAAAGGATTCCGATTGGCCGATAAGTACCAGGGTCTTCAGCCTGATGAAGTTCGCCTCTTGATGGAGGCTTATGGACGATACCACGGTTTGGGTGTGTTCGTCGACCGACATTCCGACTTCAGTTCCAGGCCCATATTCAGAGATAATCCTTTCGAAACGATCCCAGAATTCCACGACATGATGAGGAGCTGTCTCAACAGCGTGTGCAAGGTCCTCGAGGAAATACCCGGACAAGAAGAGAACGCTAGAAAGATGAAGGACTACGTCGTTAAGGTTGATGGGGGAAGAGAACGATTATTCGAATTCATCGGGAGAAAAGGTAAATTACTCACCTTTCTCCATGGAGATTGCTGGTGCAATAACATGATGTTTCGATACGACCCAGACACGGGAGCACCAGTGGAGATCAAGATCTTTGATCTTCAGATCGTAGCCTATGGCAATCCTTGTCGCGACCTCATGCATGTTTTCTACTCCAGCACGTCCAAAGAGACTCGAAAGCAGAAATCCGCTTTCTTAAAGCTCTATCACGACACCCTCATAAGTACCACAAACAATCTTGGTGTAGTCCTCAGTTACTCTTATGAAGATTTCCTGAAGGAAATCGAGGATCACGAAGAATTTGGTTTTCTAGTGGCCATGTTTATAATCCCCGTCATCCTCGCCGAGAAAGAGGACATACCCGACTATACGAAAACAGACTTGGACGTGGACGAATTCATCAGGTTGAGGGAACAGCAGCTCTTTACCCGGGGAAGTTCGGTCATCAAGCAACGCCTTGTCGACATTGTGGAACGCATGGTTGAAATTGGTGTGTTTTGATGCTGGAACCTGGATGTTATTTGCACGATTTTGCGAATTGTTGGTTTCTATTTTTGTTTCTATAGTTTCTACTATTAGGAATTTAGACCCATAACACAGGCTCCATCTGGAAATAAATATAAATTGCTGCGTTTGATGAGGACTTAATTCAATGTAATGTGTAGGTACAATTATACCAATTTTCTAATGCCAGTTTTCAACAACTCAGCTCGCGCATTTTTTTCTCTCGTGGAAGGATGGGAGGCATTGAGTTGGGATCAGATTGACAGTTGATCTGACAGTTGAGTTACATTTGCCAGGCAAGCAATCGAGTCCGAATATTCTGTGTGTATGAGCCACTGAGGCCCGGGGCTAACTACGTCACGGTCCTTCACTGGATCAGGGCTGGGTAGTATCTGGAAATGTGAACTTTCCCCAATATTGACGAATATTAGAAGGCATCAATGTTAAAGGTTGTAGAGTGGTATCAGGAAGCGATGACGCTCATTCAGAAACAACTTTCTAGGTCGAACGCTCCCTAATTTTAAAATGGGCCTACTCCTTTAATTAGAAATGGGCCAAGGAGAACAGTGTTGTACATTTTTGGACGTGAAGGATATTTAAATTTTCAGACCTTTTTATTTTCCCTCAGGCCTCTCACTGTACTGTAAGGTTTGCACTTTTACCTAGGCGGGGTTTCCCACTCCTTGCATCGCCCGTAGTTGTCACCGCCTCTTTTTGAGGCTCCTCTTCAAATCAAAGCGGGAATATGCATGAATTACACACTTGCTGCTTAACTCCAGATATTCTCTCTCCTCTCTCTCCCTATTTCATGATTCGAATCCTTTCGTTTCCTGGACTGATTCACTGTTGATATGAAATTTCTATTTTGAGGGATCTGACGAAAGGATGAGACAGATTGCTCCTCCGCTGCGATTTCCGACGCGACCTAGAAAAGTGGTCGGATTAGAAATGCAGGGTCAATATTTCTACGAAACTTCTCAGAAAGCTGAAGAGTTTGGTGTTGCATGGATATCGTTCTGAAGATTTTCTTATTCTGTTTAACTAAGATTTTATATTTCGAGAAACCTGCTATGAAATAACAAATGCACAATTATTAATACATAGGTTTGTCTTTCATTCCGAAGTTAACTCTCTTTTAATTGAGAACGACAGCATTTCGACCTTGAATGGCGATAGTTCGTGGTGAGCAATGGCGTGGTGAGCAATGGCGTGGCGAGTTCCATGCGCCACATGTGATGTTAGCCTGCATGCTTCAATCACTTGGATACCTTACTGATACGTTCGTACGCGGGGGAACAAGCAGAAAGAACACGAATTCATTCTTTATCTCATGGAATTTCTCTCAAATATTAGTGTCTAGGAACATAATGAATTTGTCCTCAAGTACTCCCTCTATGGTGACGCTGAATATGTGAAGTCTGTAATCGAGCGACCCACAGGACAGAAGGAGATCGAGGTCAAGGATTTCTTATGCCAAGACACATGGAGGAGGATGAAGGGGAGAATTTGTGCCACCCTCATGTTTCGCCTCACCACCTGATTCTGCCTTGAATAGTTGGAGGTACAGACAAGGAGTTTCCCATGAAAAATCCCTCCCCTTCATTCGGGAACTTGACTATTTCACAATTGAGTGAGCGTATAATTCTCTCTCTCCCTGTTTGGAAATCTCAAGGTCGACATGAGCTCTCATGAGTGCTCCACTAAGTGGATGTGTCACTCCCCTTCCATTCCGTTCAGCTGCGTGCCTGCTTCCCTCCAAGGCTTCACTCTCCAAGTAAGTATCAACATGCCTTAGGATTTGCTTTAACCATCTACGTGGCATAGTCATTTTTGGATATATTTTTCAAATATCACATGAGGCATTCAGAGCGTAGAGGAAAATCCGAGAAAAATAATATGAGTTTGGTACGAAGCTTCGACGTCTATGGTTCCTTCATCAGAAATAATAAGAAGTTCCATTCATATACCATCCTCAAGCTATTGCAAAGCCTCAATTTTTCATGTTCGAATAAACGGATTAGGGTACGAAGGAATCCTTAAAATTGACCAAATGGATTTCATTATACTTCGAGTGCTGTTTTGCGACATACTGCACCTGCGTACATATTGTCGATATGGGAAGACATTCCACTTTTTCTAACAGTCGTTGCAATGGAAGAAGTAAGACAAGACGTGGACGATATCACGCAGGAGTTTGTCAAGATGTTAATCGGAAAGGACACAGGAGAAAACGAGATCGAGGTCAAGGACTTCCATGCAGAGCGTGCGACGGAAGCCGGTGACAACTTTGCCACCATCGTCTATCGGATCAAGGCCAACTACATCAGCAACCGCGAAGAGCGGAAGAGCTGCGAGGCCGTGTACATTGGGAAGTTTCTCCCAGTTCAGCCAAAACATAGGGAGATAATAAAACAGATAGATATGTTCGAGAGAGAGGTGGTCGTCTACAACGATCTCATTCCTGCCATGATGAATTTGCAGAAGGAGAAGTTGCGACGAGAAGACATTATCATCCCCGATGTGCCCAATTGCATTTATGCTAACGGGGAATCCACACCCATTGCAGCTATTATCATGGGGGACTTGTACCAGAAAGGATTTCGATTGGCCGATAAGTTTCGGGGTCTTCGGCCTGAAGAATTTCTACTCTTGATGGAGGCTTACGGACGATACCACGCCTTGGGCGTCTTCGTCGACCGACATACCGACTTCAGTTCCAGGCCAATATTGTGCGATAATGCATTCGAGAAGTTTCCAGAATATGGGAACATGATGAAGAACAGCCTCGACATGGCGTGCAAGGTCCTTGAGGACATACCCGGGCAGGAAGAGAACTATCGAAGAATGAAGAACTACGTGGTGAAGGTCGACGGAGGCATGAAGCGATTCTTCGAATTCATAGGGAAAAAGGGCAGAATGCAGACCTTTATCCATGGGGATTGCTGGTGCAACAACATGATGTTCCGAGACGACCCGGACACTGGAGCACCGGTGGAGATCAAGATCCTTGATCTCCAAATGGTTTCCTACGGCAACCCTTGTCGCGACCTCATGTATGCTCTCTATTCCAATACGACAGGAGAGACTCGGGACCAGACACACGCCTTCCTCAAGCTCTATCACAAGACACTCACTTGCACCGCTCAAAGTCTTGGTTTGGCCCTCGACTACTCTTTCCAAGACTTCGTGAAGGACATGGAGGAGCATGAAGAATTCGGGTTCCTCACCGCCATGTTCATCCTCACCCTCACCTTGGCCGACAAGGCTGACGTCCCCGACCCCACTGAGACGGACCTGGACATAGACGAAATGCTGAGGCAGAGAGAGAAGCATCTCCTCTCCAAGGGTAATCCGGCCATCAAGCAGCGTCTGGTCGAAATCGTGGAACACATGGTCCGACTTGGTGTGATTTGATGTCTGGCCCTCGATGGGATCATACTCATCCATTTACATATATAATGGCAGAGGATATTTTACAACATTGCTCTCATAGGCACAGACTAAGTTCTTTCTCTATGAATGAATTCATTTGTGGCAGTTCATATCATATATACTCCTTGTTCAAATGACATTGCTATCCAGGTGTCGGCACCGTAGAATCTCCTATTCGTCTTCCGTTCCTTGATCAGACAAATCGCCTCGGGATTCCTAAGACTGCTGACCAAGAACTACATCATTGTGTTTTGGATTCGAATCCATGATATATCTGATACTGGATCTGATTAGTACGTGGTCGTACTTAAAAGGCGCGCTGAGATATTTCGAGTTTATTTCCCTACTTCTAGTTGAGGCAGAGGACTAATAATCCTACTAAGTATACATCTACAGTATATTTTCTCTCGGCCTTGGCTAGAAATTCATCCGTAATGAATTTCTAGCTACTAGAGTACACCCACAACAGCTGTTTAGCTAAGACGTCACGAAAATTTAAATATAATCATGCGGCAAGTAATTGCGCTTTCCATCGATAGAAGGACTTGTGAAGTTCATGTCTGTTGAATGCTGGCTCTCAGTTCGCTAAAGGATCCATCTTGAATCATGTAAAATTTTTAGGAAGTTTTGTCAAAGGATAAAAATCCTCAAATCCTCAAGTTAGGCAGATAACCTCATTTGAGATGATAAAATCTCCACTAGTTGATAATTTCAGCTACATTGTAAAAGACCTTCACTCCCCTTTTGCTCAGTAAAAAAAATGGCTGTTGCAAGCCATTTTATTTTCAGCCCCACCGAACACATGATAAGATTATCAGCACGGGAGGATCAAGGGGACCGAAAGAATCATCTGCCCTTTGAGTGGAAAACTGATATTGCATTCGTGTCAGAATTTGTTGCAGGTAGCGGAACGTGGAGCCAGTTCGTTGACAGTGGGCAACACTTGCATTCATTTCATGTCAAGTGACCCAGGAGTATGTTGAATCATTGAAAAAAATTTGCAAAATTCATGAGAATGAAAGTTCACCTTAATACTTTTGAGCCATCACACATAAATTCTAGCCACCTTTTCCCTAAGCAACCCCAGATCTTATTCAAAGCTATCTGCAAATAGCAATTTCATTCAATTAGAGTCATCTCTGTTTCTCAATTATGTCGATGTGGTTATGTCTTCGAAGATAATATTTCTTTCTTTGCGTCCTATTCTTGCTAGCTATGAGAGTATTTTCTGCGCAAAACTGACGATAGAATCGCCTAATTCATCCCATATTAACAACCATCTCTGTCTTTTCTTTATCACGTCTTCCAAGAAAATATTGTTGTCTTTACGTCCCATTTTTGCTTCAGGAGAGTATTTTCTGCTCAAAAATCGACGATAGAATGGCCTAATTCAACCCGTAGGAACAAAAATTCCTAATTTTTCTTCATCCCAGTGTTCCAGCTCCCAAACTGGGAGGGGGATTAGTGAAGAGACAGATTTGATGAGAAGCAACCAGCCCTCGTCTTAACTCATTTCTGGGGTAGAACATCCACAGCCGAATGACAACAATGAGGAACATGTCTGG